TGTGAGCAAGGGAGTGGCGTGTGGATGCGACCATGTGTACTCGAGTGCATGTGGGAGATACCAGGAGGTAGGTGTGTAGAGAACGGGAGACGGTGGTTGAAATATGTGTGTTCCACAGCTGCCTTGATGATGTCAGCGGTCTCTTCGCCCCGTTGAGAAAAAAAAAACCCTCGAAAGATCCAGGGAAACCCAGACACATATGTAAGGGTTAAGATTCGGGTGTTGTGGCTATTTTCACCCCTGCCACATCCTACGTAAAGCAGTAGTAAATCTCGAGTCGTTGTAAGGAAGCATGTCCTCAACCTCTCGGCGGGTCGCAGCTCGCAGATACTCCGTCCTGAACTATTGTTAGAGACACACGAACCTGTTTTTTTTCGCAGGCCCCTGAACACGGAGACTGTGGCTGCTCCGGCATCCGAGGAGGGGTCAGGTCCCGTTGTCGCTGAAGACGGGGAGAGTGGTCTGGCGCCCCCGGCGGCCATGGCCTCCTCTGCCGCGGTAGTGAGCTCCGACGAAACAAACGGGAAAGAGGATACTTCTGAAGGTTTGGAAGGACGGTGCTGCTGAACCACTGTCGACAGAGCGCCTAACGGCCTCGTATGCACATGTAGATATCGTATCCTAACAAGTCTTTTTTGCCCTTGGACAATGGTTGATGGCTTCCCAGACGGTTGGGTCGACTGACAGGCTGTTCGGGGCGTCGGGCGCCTCCCCGCCAAACGGTATGCAATGAGACGCTACTTTCAGCGTGTCGTGCTCTCGTCGTCTGTGTGCTTGTGCGCGGTTTGGCAAAGCTGGTGGTGGTGCCGTTGGTTTCCGCCTCCCTCCAGTTGTTCTCTCCAGGTGCTACAACCCCCGGGCCCTCCCACGAAGTATCGCGCTTCCCTCTCTGACTTGTCTATACCTTGCGCATCGTTGCACGTCCTCTCTTGTACAACTCTCCCCCCAACAGTAGCACCACCTGTGGAAGAACTGCCCGAGGATACGAAGGCAGCCCTGGTGAAGCAGGTGGAGTTTTACTTCAGCGACGAGAACCTGCCCACGGACGCCTTCATGAAGAAAAAAGTTAAGGCCGGCGGGGCGCAAGGTAAGAACGTTGTCTACACAAATGTCGGTTACGGTGCGCCTCGCACCTTCAGGGTTGATTAGCTTTTGTCTGCCAACTTTTTTGTATGGCGGAATAGGTGCTGCTGAAGCTTGTGAGAAATCCTGTCCATGACAGAATTGTGTTTTGATCTTTGCCGACTTCTTCCCGCCCCCAGCACAACCCAAGAGACTCAAACCCCCGAGTCTGTAGCCATGACGGGCATTCTAAGTCGCCTTCAGGTGTTGGGCAGACAACAGGAA